TGGGGCTGGCCATGTGGTCCTCTCTGTGGACTGGCTGCTCTATTTGGGGTCATCATCCTCAAGGCCTAGTGTAGCCCTGATAGTCTGTAAAGTTTCGACATTTGTACCAAATACACTAGCTCTTCAAAAGCCCACACCGTTCTTTTCTGCCACCCTTGGTTTTTGGTTTGTTTTTCTTTTTTATTGGTTCTTCAATCATTAGCTTAAAAGCCCTAGAGAGAAAGTACTTTGGAGTCTCCGCTATATTTAGGCCAACCGAAAACTGGAAAACAAACTCACTGCCGTCGGGTCGATTCTGACTCCTGGGGACCCATAGGACAAGGCAGAACTGCCCTTCTGAGTTCCTGAGACTGCAGCTGTCTGTGAGAATCGCCAGACCTCAGTTATTTAATCAGTCCAGTCCACAATTTTCTCTCCCCAAAATGGTACAAATATCAACCACACGATGGTATTGGGAAAATTAAATTATATAAAACTAGTAAACAGCCTTGGGATAAGTGTTTTATATACAATTTATTTGTATTACGTTGCCTTCTTCTAATCCTGCTCCTTAAAACTCTGTGAAATGGTTCTTGCCCTCCTATTGCACCTGAGGAACAGGAGCTCTGAGCAGTTAAATAACTTGCCCAAGGTTCTACAATAAATGTAGAATCTGGATTCAAACCCATATCTGACTGACTGCCCAGCCTGACCCTGCTACAATGTATTTATACAACCCCAAACAAAAAGAAAACACAATAAAAATATATAAAGGACTTGAATAGACATTTCTCCAAAGCAGATCTATAATTGGCCATTAAGCACATGAAAAGATGTTCAAAATCTTAAGAAATTAAAGCCATTGCCGTCCGTTGGCTCCTTTCCACAGTGACTCTATGGGGCACAGGGTTGCTAAGGCTGTAATCTTTATGGAAGCAGAATGTCACATCTGCCTCTCCCTTTGGGCAGCTGGTGGGTTTGAACCACTGAGCGCTTAGCCACTGGCCAACCAGGACTCATTCATCAGGCATAAGACCAAAAAGGACCCCTGTCATTGAGTTGACTCTGACTCATAATAAACCTGTAGGACCGAGAGGAACTGCCCCTGCGGGTTTCTGAGACTAAATCTTTATAGGAGTAGGAAGCCTCATCTTTCTCCTCTGGAGGAGATGGTCATATTGAACTGTTGACTTTGTAGTTAGCAGCCCAACTCATTACCCATTAGGCCACAAGGACATCTTATTAAGGAAATGTAAATCATAATCAGATACCACTTGATACCCATAAGGTAGCTATTCTTAAAAAATAAAACAAGTATAAAGATATGCTGAAGCTGAAATCTCATCCCTTGCTCTTGGAAATGTGAAATGGTTCAGCCACTGTGGGAAACTGTTCAGAAATACCTCAAAATACTAAGGATTACCATATATATATTCTGTATATACCCAGAATAATTGAAAACAAGCACTCAGACAGATATTTATATACCAATGTTCATTGTAGCATTGTTTACAATAGCCAAAATGTGGACACAACTCAAATGCCCATCAACAGATGCTGGATACACAAAACATGTTATATATATATATATATATAATATGTTATATATATTCATTTATATACACACACTAAAGACTATTATGTGTCCATAAATAAATCAGGTGATTATTATTATTATTATGTTCTGACTTTCTGTTTCAAGTTTTGAAATGTTTTAGAACAGTTAATGGTGATGTTTGCACAAGAATGTGAATCTAATTAACATCACTAAGTTAACAGTTAAAATGTCAAATTATACATTGTGTTAGTCTGGGTAGGCTAGAGGAACAAATTCATAGACATGCATATGTGTATAGGAAAAAATTTTATATACAAGAGCAATTGAGCATTGAGAAAACATCCCAGTCCAGTCCATATCAAGTTCATAAGTCCAATGTTAGCCCATAGGTCCAATACCAATCTATAAAGTCCTCTTCAGACTCATGAAACACATATAATGATGCCGAATGCAGGAAGATCACAGGCCAGTGGGTGGGAAGTCTTGTGGATCCCACGGCGTTGTAAGCATCTCAGCGCTGGCAGGGGTCTCCACCCGGTTCCTTCAGCTCCCAGGACTGCATCAGGGGAGGTCCATGTGGTTTCTCCTCAGAAATGTCACGCAGGGATTGAGCAGAGAGAGAGTGTGTCTTCCACCTCCAAGGAGGAAGTACAGGAGCTCCCAGAATTCTCAGGAGAAGGGCATGCCCACACATTGGCTATGACCCGATTGACAGACTAGACTCGACCCCTTCACTCTTAATCCTCACAAGTCCAAAATTGACACTACCACAGACCACCCTTTGTCAATTTGACACTTTCACATAACTTTTTAGCCATATATAATATTCAAACAAACAATAATAAAATCATATCTGTACCTAACAGGATAAAACTATAATGCATATAATTCAATATGTGCCACCCTCATTTAAACATAACGTTCTATAAGTGACAAAACAAAAATATCCTATGCCTAACAATTGCAGTTAAGTAAAACCTACACCTTTATCCTATAATCCTATGAATATATTCACCCTCTATGAAAGTTTGTAAGCCAATTACTTCATACCTTTATCCCCCCCAATTTGGGGTATTGAATTTATATTCTTCCCACTTACATCAACCCAGTGCTCTGAGGAGACAATCATATTCTTTGACGTGAAGAATCTTCATTCCAGTTGGAACCTTGTGAAATCTGTATCCATGAGCAAAGTCAAATCAGGACAGGCCATCCATAAAGTCAGTAACAATATACAGCAGTTCACAGGCTCAACAATCTTCTCTTCATCTGGTTGGGTTCTGGTCAACTCAAGGTGGGCTACCTCACTTAGCATCACCAAGGCACCCATTGGTCGCCTTGCCTTTAGACCATGAACCCATCACAAATTCTTAACAAGCCTAGCCCCCTTGTATTAGGTCATGAACTTCAGACCAGTCAACCTGCTCTCGTCTTCTCCTCTAGTTCCTTGTAAACCCAGTCCACGGGTGTCAGTGGCCAGACTCAACCCATCTCCTTATTGCTGCATTTTTTCCACTTCCACTCAAGTGCATCCAGGTGATCACCTAGCAAGCATTTCAGCTTGCCCACAGGCTCCCTCTAACGTTTAGTCCTAGAGAGGAGTTTTCTTCATGGTTCCAGATTTTTTCCAGCTTCTAACAAAAACCATTCATTCAAAATTCAAATATCCAAAGAGTTCCTTTTTCTTCAATCTGTCAATAGCCCTTAGACAGATCTCTGGGATCTTGGAATGCAAATATTACGAGTACTCCAATGCACTGCGTGGGGCTTAGCCTTTCCGAACCGTCCTTGCAGACACACCCTAAACCCATCTAAAGATCAAATTAATGTCTCAAGGCAAGTGGGTTTACAAGTTCTCTATTTTCATACTTCCAAAAATCACTTCTATAAATCCTAATATCCACAATAATAAGCAGAAGCAATCACTATAAACAAAGTAGAATCAGATACTAAACTCAATCCTTAAAACACCCAAGTTCAATCCTTATTTAGCTTATCTTACTCCTTATCTAAGCTATTGATAGAAAATATTGAATTAGGCCTCTGAAAGCATCAAACTGCATCCAAGCTTTCTATCAATCATTTCGAACTTCTGTCAGCCATTTTCTCGAAGCAGCATGGTTTCTGAGAATTCAAGGGGCAATTTCTACCCCTGCACTCAAAATATACATTAACAACATTCATTTTTGCCATTTCGCACAGGAATAACCAAAGGCTACAACAAATGAAAATGATCAAAACGTTAACTTCCCATGTTCTTTCCAGAAAACAACCCAGTAAACTGCATGGACATATCTGACCTCTGGTTAGCTAAAGAAGCAGCACTGGTCTGAGGGAGAGGTCGAAGAAACATGCACTCTCCGTCGTTATGATTTGTTTCTCTAGTATCCAACTCCTGGTACTGTAATGTGTCAGTCAGGGTGTAACTTATCAAAATAAAACTTTTAAAAAAGAATATGGAGTCCTTGCATAGTATCTGATATATGACTGGCATTATATAAGAATAGGTACTATTTCCATTGCTACCATTAGCAATAAAGAAGTCAAAACATGGAGAGTAAAGGAGTCAAAACAAAGAGGAAATGTTAAATCCAGTGTCTTTAGACCCAATATCTAGTTAACTTTATGCAACCCTGATCCATTTTAGGTATTGATGAGTTGGCTAACTTTTCTGATAGTCTCATAAGATATTCACCAAGCAACCTTAGAATTATTTTATTATTCTTTTGCATGCTAAAACTTGGTTACTGAAAAGTCCTGGAGGACCCTTTATAGATACCTAGCCCATGTATTGTCTTTTTGACCTCACAGTCATTGCAAACTCTAAACAAGCCAACTTATAGCAAAAAATGCCTATAAAAGTAATGTCTGATTTTTACATGGATGCCAGAAAACAAGTTAGTGCCGTTACTGATATCAAATGCCTTCCAGTGATAAAACAGGAAGAAAAGGTAGAAAATGTGTTGCATTTGGCTGAATTTACACACAGAGACCCCTCCTACACCCACACAAGCACACACACACACACACACACACACACACACACGCACGCACGCGCACTCACATGCGTGCACACACTATTTTCATTCCCTGTAAACAGAGGGAGGAGCAGCACATTCCTAAATTAATTGGCCATGATGCAGAGGCAGGGAGTTGTGGTTGGAAGGGCGGAAATTATTCAGCTTAACATTAAATTACTGTTTTAAGTTCTACAATCCAGGGAGTACAGTATTCTGTTTTGAACTCACACTGTATTTTTTTTTTTTAATTTTCAGTTCCTTTAGATCAGCCTGAAATATGGGGTTCAAGCCAACCAATTAATCCAAGCGTCGAGTCGCCAAAGTTAACAAGACCTTTTCCCACTGGAAGTAAGTTACGGGTCCATTCTGTCTGGAAAAATGAGTGAGTCATTTTACTGTCTGTCTGCAGTGTGCAATTAGGCAGCTCTCAGAAAGTCCACTTAAGCAACATCTGAACTGCGTAATTAAGACATGTTCCAACAGGCTCTAGAGTTAAAGAGCCCTAGAGAAGGCTATCAAGGCAGGACATTTTTAAAATAAGGTCACATTATTTATCTTGAATCATAGTTGTATGGTTCCACATGCCATGCCCCAGGATGTTTGGTTATTCCCATAAATATACATGTGAAGAGAGTGGGAAGCAAGCAAGTGCGCTGAAGAACCAACTGGGCATCACACAGGGCCAAAGCCGACCGGTCGGAGATGGAGAGGTGATGGCCCCGCTCAGCTGCACAGAACGCCGGGCGGGCTACTGCCACGGAGAGGAGGCCACCGTGAGAAGCCAGAGGGAAAAGTCAAGAGGCGGAATGGCAGAGAGAAATCGTGGCAGCAGATCCTGGAGGTGGTGGGATTCAAATAATTTAACCACCGCTTTGTTGCCCTAATGACCACTTGAAGTATAAACTTGTGTTTATTTGTTTTAAGTTCTACACCGTAAGTTTGGGCAGGACTTGGAACCCAGTGGCCTGATTTTCATGAATTCTCAGTGCTCTTGGGAAGTAAAGTCAGAGGGAAAGCCTCTAACGTCCTTTAAGCAGCTTTCTTTAGAGACCCGAGCTTTTCAGATCATCCCTAGAAACCCCTTTCGAAACCCCAAGAAAGCAAATGAACGAAGTGTTTCTGTAGATGATTTTTTGGTGTTTGGGAGTTGTGCATTTTCTGAGCTGCACTTAGTCCTAACGGCACAGCAGAGGTTGTGGTAGAATGTGTGTGCACTGTATAACTCTTCTCATTTCATGCACGGCGCACAAATTTGCTCTTTTAAATGATTATATTTTTGTGGCTTCTTAGTTGTTTTATGACACTTTGTTCATGGTGATCTTGATTAATTTTGTGCAGAGTCCCTGATTGTTTTGGCTGTGGGGGGAACGTGATTCATCTGAGGTGTAGTTTACAGAGGCTCTTCACTAGGATTAGAAACCACACGGCTCTGTATTCTAGGATGATAGCGGTTTGTTGCGCCTGTTATGTGGATGGACGGTGTGCCCTCAATAGCACACAGAAGGAAATAGAAAGAAAACTAGAGGGAATGACAACAAAGAGGCGCTTCTTCCTGTTACGGAGGACCTGGAAAGATTTCTTTTGCTTTTAGGGAAGAAAATGAAGTTATCCTAAGTTTCTGCCTACTCTTGTGTGTTTGAATAGAACTGTGCCTCTTAGGTGTTCAGTGGACACATTTTTTTATAAGCCGAGCTTTTGGTGTTTCTTCCAAGATGCCGCTGTGTGAACTTGAACCTCCCACTTCCCAGTTAGCATTACCACCGAGGTACTCCTAGATTCGTAAAGGTTGAGCCATGTTCAGATGCATGACGACATCTGGGGATGCCATGAGACTAGTGTGCGCTCTTGACCCTATCACCTATGGCATAACAAGAAAAATAGACATTTCTGTTTGAATAATAATTCTTAATTCTATCCGCAAATTGATAAGATGAAGATTTGGGTAGGGGCCCTAATGTGATGCTTTTTCTACCTCAGAGACAAAGAACCTATCTATTTGTTCTTGACCCAAATGATTTTGCTTCAGATTTTCAAAATTAGAGTAAAATTAAAAGAATATAATCCTGAGAAATCTTTCCAGACTTGATCCAGACAATAATCTCCTGAGTAGATTAAAATCTCCCCACGTGAGCTGTTTTAATAACCCAGCCTGTTGTGTCCTTTGTTATATTCTGGTTTATAATTGCCTCTTTACATGATTCCATTGAGGGCAGAAGCTGTGTTTTATTCGGTGCTCTGTCCTTAGTCCTTAATCCAGGACATAGAATTTAGTTGGCACTTAAGGCTTAGCAAAGGAATGAACTGAATGTATGAATAAAATATTATTATTACTATTACTGTTACTACTTGATATTCTTTTGGCAAGTTCTTATTATCATAAAACTGAAGGATCTGAATGGGTCTTCCTTTAGATTCTTGCCTTTGAACTTGAAAAACCAAGGCTGCTAGTCTAGTCCTGACAGAGGAGTGTGAACAACAGCTCAAATCCGGCTTATCTAAAGTGTATTGTGTAATTCGGGGAGAAATTTAGCAATTATACAGGACTTCTCTTCTCTTTTCAGCACCTCCACCACTGCCACCTAAAAATGTACCAGCAACCCCACCCCGAACAGGCTCCCCCTTACCTGTTGGACCAGGTAAGCTCTCGTCTTTTCTACTCTGGGATAATGTGACAGAGAAGAGACCCCAGGCCTCGACAAACCCTCGAAGTGTCAGAAGCTAAATGTTAAAATGTTCACGTTTATCAATCCTTCCATTACAATCTACTCTGCAGACTTATGGTAAAGCACCACAAAAGATTGCTTTTTCTATGAATTTTCCATTTTAAAAGTTTGCTAAATGGAGGCCACGTTTACATAGGAAAATTCTCAGCCTGAAAAAGCATTGCTTAATTATCATCTCCCTTCATTGGATCTCACTTTAGTGATTTGTAGATTAATACTGTTTCAAGATCGTTTTTTTCAAAGAACAGTAAAAATTTTGCTAGAACTAGAACTGTTGTCTTTAAAAATATAAAATGTTTCCCAAGGTTCACAGCATACTTGGGTGGTAGGCATTTTTCCCCAGTAGTTATTAAATGATCTATTATCTCATGGCAAAGAGATGCATAAGGATTATGAAATATGGCAAGGAATTACTGCATGTGTTTGGACAGATCATTTTTTGTGTAAAGCATGCTTTATTTTCTACAAAATTAATACCATGTATTCATATCATTTATAATCTACTTAGTATCCTTGGACTTGCAAGTTTAAGTAGTAATGCTTATTTTAGGTGACTGGGCTCTTAGCAGGTGGTCCTTTATCACCTATGGAATTCTACTGCAGCCTCATCCTTCGCTATATATGCAGCCTGATGAGTTTTTGATACAGAGTGGGATACTAATCAGCAAGGAAAATGCAAGGCATCATCGTCTATGAAACTTATAGAGAGCCAAGTCTAAGAGTCATCACAAAGTACCATAAAGAAAGGCACTTGCCAATTCAAGACATTTTGCCATCTTTCATTCCTGCACATTATAATACTGTTGCCCCATGCTGTCTAGGCAGTTCCAATTCATAGTAACCCTGTAAAATGAAATAGAACTGTCCCCCAGGGATTCCAACGTTGTAAATCTTACAGGAACAAACTGCCACCTCTTTCTCTTACAGATTGGCTAGTGGATTTGAACCACAGACCTTTTGGTTAGCAGCTGAGCACTTTAACCACCGTGCCACCAGCGCTCTTTATAACTTATATTAGATATAAATTCATCGACCAGCAAAAAGTATCATGTGTATGACACTTTATCATATTGTCATGGCATAGGTGGTCCCATTATGCTGGGTGCTGTGCCAGCAGTATTTCATATACCAGCAAGGTCACTGATGGTGGACAAGGTTTTTAAAAGCTTCCAGATTAAGACAGATTAGGTAGAAGGACCTGATAATATAGTTCTAAAACAAAAGACCAGTGCAAACCTTATGGGTAGGAGGGAAACGGCTGCAGTACTGTCACAAGGTGAGCACTTGAGACCGGAAAGCCCTCAAAGTATAACTGAGGAAGAGCGGCCTCCTCCCAGCAGAGTCCATCTTACTGTTTATGTGCCACGGCTCGAAAAGGAAACCGCTGCAAATATCCACTAATCATTGATTGTGGAAAATACAAAGGATGAATTGGAAGTCATAAAAAATGAGATGGAATGAATAAGATCACCGTTCTAGGCATTACTGAGCTGAAATGAACTGATATTAGATATTATCAGTTGAGCCATCATTTGGTCTACTCTACCAGGAATGAGAAATCGAAGAGGCATCACAGTCACCATCAAAAGGTACATTTCAAGATCTATCCTGAAGTACAGCGCCGTGAGTGAAAAGGTGATATTTATACACCAACAAGGAAGACCAGATTCTTTGGCTGCTAATCAAAATTACACACAAAATCCACTAATGCCAAAGATGAAGAAATTAAAGATTTTACTAACTTCTGCACACTGAAATTATTCAAAAACGCAATAAAATGCATTGATAAGTACTGGGGCTTGGAATATGAAAGTTTGAAACAAAGAAGGATTGGTAATTGGCGGGGGGTGGGGAGGCCTTGGTGATAAACCATGCCAAAAATCATATGATTGAATTTTGTAAGACAAACACCTTATTTGTTGAAAATAAGTTTTTCAACAATTTATCTAGCAACTACCCAAGTAAACCTCTTCAGATGAAAATAGTCACTGAAACCAAACTCATCGCCATCGAGTCAATTTTAACCCAGTAAGGCAGGGTAGACGGGCCACTTTTGGTTTCTGAGACTTTAAATCTTTATAGGAGTAGAGAGTCTCATCTTTCTCCCACAGAGTGGCTGGTGGGTTTGAATCACTGACCTTGTGGTTAGCAGTTCAGTGCATATCTCACTACACCATTAAGGTTCCTTGATGGAAGTACATGAGAATCAATCAACTGCATTGTGACAAGAGATGATGGAAATGCTCAGTTATCATCAGCAGAACAAGGGTAAAGGCGAACTGAAGAATAAGCCACCAAATGCTCATATGCAAGTTCAATTTGAAGTGGAAGAAAGTTACAATAATAAGTCTACAAAAGCCGAAGTACACTCAAGAATAACCCACCTAAGTTTAGAGACAATCTCAAAAATTGATTGGATGCAAATTACCAAAGGTAGACAAATTGTAGGGTTATATCAAGTTATCGTACACGAAGAACATAAAAGTCAAAAAAGGAAAGAAAAATTCAAAATGTAGGTTAGACTATTGACCAGGGATGTGAATAGCCTTGGTATCAGACAAACTGTATTAGAAAGTGAAGTAATGCAGATGCCGTTAGGTTAAAATTTAACATTTTACCATTTGCTCTCCCTGTTGACTCATTTTTAATTTTTTCTAGTTTCTTTCTTTTTCTACTTTCTTTTGGATTATGAGTGTTCTGTGGTTTTGTTGTTGTTGGGGTTTTGCGTTGGGGGCATGATTTCATGTATATGTCATCTAAATCTAGGTAACTCTATAGAGACAGTAGCTGAATTAATAGTTTCTTAGGGTTATGGCAGGGAAGGTTGGAAAGGGGGGAGATAATAATAATGAAAACAATAGTGGTGAAAATGTTCTAAAATTGATTGTGGTGATGATTGTGCAACTTTTTTGTTATGTTGGAAACATTGAGTTTTATGGTATGTGAATTATAAATAAATAAATCAATAAAACTGTTAGAAGTTTTTAAAATATAGGTCAGAGGAGAAAAATGAAACTATTTTTTGAATGTAGAATAGCTAAAGCAAATGAAAGAAATGACCAAGTAAAGGAGCTGAACTGAAGATTTCTAAGGATGTCTCAAGAAATCAAAATAAAGTAATATACTGAAATGTGCAAATACCTGAGGTTGTAAAACTGAGATGAAAGTGCGTGCTTGGCATTAATCCAACTGACAAAAATGGAGGGAAAAAATCACAGCTTGATTTTTAAGATTGAAGGATTCTACGGCTGAAGGTTGACTGACACAGGAAGCATCAAACGTCGGTGGAGGGACTACACAGTGTCACTGTCGCCAAAGAATTAGTTGAGTGATATAGCCCTGTTCACCATTAGTGGCATCATTGTCAGTTTTTGCTTTTGTTTTTTGAGGGATACTATAAGTGACCTCCATGGGGCCTTTCTAGATTCTACTAATAATATCATTCAACTAGCCCCTGGTATAGAACTTAGAATATTATTAATATAGAGGAAATATTGCTATGTGGAAAAACTTTTTAGACAAAGTTACATGAAATATTCCATTTATATCTTAAAAACGTAAGTCACATGTATACACACACAAGAGGGCTTCAAAACGTTCATGAAATTAAAGGATAATTCCATTTTCCCGACTTTTTATTTATTTGAGTTATGATTAATTACTATTCTAATAATTAATACTACATGTACATATTACATACCTTATTTAAGCATGTAATTTGGCATGTTATAGTGATTCACTTTTATAACTTAATGGTTAAAGCACTGTTGTATTTATAGAGATACTGATAATACAGGCATTAACAATGGTGACAGAAAAGAGTTAAAGTTCAAATGTTTCAGGAGGTAAAATGTCATCAAGAATCGATGATATTGAAGGAAGAAATCCAAGCTGCACTAAAGGTAAACCGGTTCCCAGAATTGATAGAATTCCGTTGAGATATTTCAACAAACTGATATGATGCTGAACATGTTCACTTATCTATGCCAAGAAATCTGAAAGGCATCTGTCTAGCCAACTGGCGTATCTTTATAATTACATGCAAGTAAAGTCTTGCTGTAGATGATAATTTTTAAATGATTGTCATAGCACATCAATAGGGAGTTGCCAGAAATCCAAGCTAGATTCAGGAGACAGTGGATCTTGGCTTCAGGAAGCAGAGAACACCCAAAGCATGTCTAGCTGTGAAGGCATTAAACTATGTGTACCATAACAAGTTATGGATAAAACTGCAAAGAATTGGGATTCCAGAATAATTACTTTCACACATGAAGATTATGCACAAAAGCCAATAGTCCAACATTCTAACAAAACAAGGGAAGGCTGCATGCTTTAAAGTCAGAAAAATGTGTGCCCCCAAGGTGTATCTTTTCAAAGTATTTATTCATTCGGTATACTGAGCAGATAATCCAAGAAGCTGACCTATATGAAGAAGAATGTGGCATCAGGATGGGAAGAAGACTATTATAACCTGCGGTATGCAAATGACCTAATTTTACTTGCTGAAAGCAATGAGGACTGGGTGCACATCCTGATGAGGATGGAAGACCGTAGCCTCGAGTTTGGATTGTACCTCAACGTAAAGAAAACAAAACCGCTCACAAATGCCCAAAGTAACACCATGATACATGGAACCATAGCCAATGCTCATGGAAGCAGTAGTGAAGAAATCCCATGAGATATATTTACATTATACAAATCTGCAAAAGATCCCTTTAAAGTATTAAAGAATAAGGATGTCACTTGAAGCCTACGGTGTGCCCAACCTAAGTCAGAATATTTTCAACGGCCTTATGTGCATGTGAAAACTGGACAATGAATCATGAAGACTGAAGAAGAATTTATGTCTTTGAATTATGGTGTTGACAAAGGATATTGACTATACCAGGAACTGCCAGAAGAATGAAATCATCTATTTTGAAGAGCGTATAGCGAGAATATTTCTTAGAAGCAAGGATAGCGCGGCTTTGGCTCACAAACTTTGGGCATGTTTTCAGGAAGGATCCGTCCCTGGGAAAGGCTCTCACGCATGGGAAAGGAGAGGGTCAAGGGAAAAGAGGGAAGCTTTCAGGAAGATAGATGGCCATGGTGGCTCCACAGCGGGCGCCAGCATACGATCGTTAGCAGGAGATCACAGAACCAGGCAGTGGTTTGTTCTTATGGACATATGGTCTCTGTAAGTCGGAGCCAACTCCAAGGCAGCTTAGCACCACAACAGGCGAGCAAAGACTATCATAAATGTTGTGGATCATAAATGTTGTGGATCATGCAAAGGGCTGTATCTCATTTATCTGTATTACTATAGCCTTTGAGATCATTTTTTAAAATTGGAAGTATGCAAGTACTAAGCCAGTTCTTATAGCCAAAGAGTTATTTAACAGGTTAAAGAAGTTTCTGTTTCTTGGAGCATCTACTCATGTTATCCAGGTATTTGGATAACAGTTTCTAATATGAGTGATCATGTGTTTAGATGTTTACAGTTCCTCGTATCTCTTGGCATCAAATAGTTCATTTCAAGATGTAGAAGACTATTTTTAATATTTTTCTTCTGTTCTTGAGATGAAGTAGAAGGAATCATTGACTCTAATGTTTAGGCAAAACAGACTTTTATGTTTTATGCATCACTGCCTTGCCAACAATCTTAAGAGGTTAGACTTGAAAAGAATTCACATGAATGCTGTTATCATTTTCTTTCCTATGAAACAGGTAGGTATTTAACAGTTTCCTAATCATGACCAAATACCGTCTCCATAACCTACGTTGGTGTTGTGTGGGGTGCATATGTGTGCATGCAAATCTGTGAGTGTGTCTCTTTCGGTGATCTTCAGGCTGTGTTTCTGGTGTATCCAACTCGTGATGTAATCGTGTGTAATCAAGAGAGTATGTAGGTTATCAAGCAGTTTATTTCGTATCATAGAATAGGCAAGTTGTATATAAGATACTAAAGCTTTTTAAAACACTGGGAGGTTTTCAAAAGTGGACCTCCCTTGTAGAAGTTTCAGTTCCAGGGGCGAGAGTTCTCTGTGGCTCTGACTGCCTTCTCAACACACCGCACGTGTTCATTTGTGAACAGCCTTTGAGAGCCGTATGAGGCTCACTGCTTTAACAATGTTCAATGTGGCCAACTAAATGATAGCATAAAACAAGGATGCTCACATGATGGAAGCAGGAAAAATGGAAATCTTCCCTCACCATCAGCTCCTGATCCAATGTAGATATGTTGCATCTTAAAATCCATCCATTGCGGCATCTCCCAAGGCTATGTGTTTGCCAGGTTTTGCCTCATGTTTGTAACTATCATCACATTAATACAGCCAATTAAGGTTTAAAATCAACTGCTTTAACCACAGGAAATGACCAGTCAGCCACAGAGGTCAAAGTTGAAACGCTACCATCGATCAATGACCTGGACAGCATTTTTGGCCCAGTATTGTCCCCCAAGTCTGTTGCTGTTAATACTGAAGAAAAGTGGGTTGATTTTTCTGATACATCCCCGGAACATGTTACTCCAGAGTTGACTGCACGGGAAAAGGTGGTGTCCCCACCAACAACATCAGACAACTCAACTGAGCCCCCAACCCCAGGTCCTCCTGGTGCCCCGGCCGTCCCAGGGCCCCCCAGCCCTCCTGGCTCTCCTGGCTCTCCCAGCCCCCCCGGCCCTCCCGGCCCTCCAGGTCCGCCTCGAAATGTACCAGCACCACTCAGTTTAGAAGATGGCCAGAAGAAAGTTGCTGAGCAGACCTACATTAAAGATGATTACTTAGAAACAATCTCATCTCCTAAAGATTTTGGGTTGGGACAGAGAGCAACCCCGCCTCCCCCGCCACCACCCACGTACAGGACTGTGGTCTCCTCCCCTGGACCTGGCTCCGGCAGTGGTACAGGGACCACCAGTGGTAGGTCTTGCTGTTTGGTGTGCTTCGTGTGACAGGGAATGGCCTTGGCTGCTGCAGTGTGAGCAATATCCTTCTCCTGCCTGGCAGTGGCTTTAGAGCTTCAGCTATTCGTCCTTGGGTTTGGGTGTCCTGTGGCCCTGTGGCATGTCCTAATCCCTCGAATGCTCATAGTCATAGTCCCAGTCTGTGATGTTTTCTGCCCTGCACTCTCGGCCTTTAGGAGCACCCTGCCTCCCACCTTGCAGTTAGCAAATGTATATTTTTTAAAGCAAGCCATGTTTGGAATTCAAATAAATTCTAGATAGAACACTGGATGTCCCACTGGATGTCACTCGGGGTGGTTTTTGTGTGAAAGGTCTGATTCCCTTGTTAGATGCCTTCCCAGGGATCCTGGATCTTTGCTGATCCTTTATATGGTGATGGTGAGGGTGGTGGTGATGGGGGGTGGGGGGGTATGGCAGCCATGTTGACCACTCCATAATTTTGACTGAGCAGACAGTGGTGTTTTAAATAAAGATTTAGTGGAAAAGCAAAAAGACAATGTCTTCTTTTATCCCCAAACTAATCAAGCTCTCACTGGAAACAAAACTGCTCTCCTTTTGACCATTTGGCACCCTTATCGGACTCTCATATCAACTTTTGTGTATGGTGATGGAAAAGAGGTATCCGAAACTTCTCGTCTGGGACTCCCTATGGTTCCATTTGACATTGAATTTGGGGTTTTCCAGGTGTGATACGTCACTTTACGTTTTCTAATTATGAGGCAAGGGGAACACCCGCTATCCATACCAGAGAGGCAGCAAGATATTCCTGTGCCCGCTCCTCCCCTCCCCCGCCAGTTCATCCTCTTCTATCGCCTTCATTCCATTCAGCCAAATTGATCTGCCAGACCCTCCAGCCTCTCCCCTCCTGTGCACGTGGGTTTAGTTTAGCCGTCATCCCTGATCATTTGTTTTCCTTTCGCTTTGAAAGCAGCAACCAGGTTTGCTGCCAGGTCTAGGAGGAGACACAAGAAAGGACATTTCCCTATATAGTCAGTCACCATGGCGGCCTCTTTTCAGTGTACACAAAACCCAGCGTACATACGCAAAAAGAGAACAAGCAATTCAGTACTAAGTTTGAAAAGCATTACTTTAAGCAATGTTAGCATGTTTCTTTTATCACAGGGGTCCTCTCAGGACCACTCTTCTGTCAACAAAAACAACAGCTATAATTTCTTATCCAGGCACCATCCTCACAGCTCCATGCACATTCTTACATCCTTTCAAGCACCCAGCATGGTAGCTCCTATTATCTTCCCCCATCCCTGTTTTAGAAGCAAAACTGAGATATAAAGATGTCAAGCTAGAGGGGATAAAGTAGGGATTCAAACTTAGGTCTGTCCGATTCTGAGTGCTTGTTCTGGACCACCATCCTCTCCAGGCACCATTGTTTAAATTTGGGTTCAAAACAGCTTTAGCTTATTTGACCATGGACACCCACCCACCTATACTGTTAACAACGTTAGCAGCAAGCTCACCAAAACCCTTCTCTTCGAGTGTGCTCCCTTGTGCTCCTATCCATTGGTTCAAGAAGCCCAGACCACCCAAATGTACCCCTCTGTTGCTTGTTTAGGTTCTTTGGGATGCACACAGTTCCCTTCTCTTTTGTAAAAAGAGCTCCTGATGTAGAACACCTTCAGACCTCTGATTGGCTGCCCTACTTAAAGAAAGCGAGCTGTTTTCAGACCGCACAGAGGATATGCTTCAGGGCTTTCTATGACCGTTGGTGGGCTGGCTTTTCAAAGAGTACTAACCTACCTTCAGGGGTGAGTCTCTGTGATCTCAGAATAAGAACCTTCAATGGCGGTGGACTTCATTTTTTTCTTGTGTTTCCGCCATCACCTTCCACAATTTAGTCACTGATCAGATGGGTGAAGTAAGGAGTGTGGACTTGCTTTCTGAAGTCTTTGAGATTTATGTTTTGATGTTTAGCTACTGTTTTCTTATTTGAATTCTTTTTAAATGTTACCAGTGAAGACCATTGATTTTTAATAATTGAGCTGGAAAAAGCTGTCCATTGCTGGTATTAAGGGATTGAATTTCTAAGTGGGATATTGAACTCAGCCAGTGAAGGCCATGAATAAATAAAACTTTGCACCATTATCTCACTAATTAAGTCCCAGTTTATTTGCTGCTTAATCTTTTATTGATGGAACATACATAGAGTGGCAGAAATGTAAATTTAGGATTAAAACAATAGAACTGGCCTCATGTTTTAAAGATGAGCAATGCCTCTCACTGCCTACTTTGTATTATCACACGTATCCTGAGGGAATTCACTTGTCCCGTACTTCTCCAGGGATGTTTAGTTGAATACCATCGTACTTATTTTTCAAATTCCACTCATAGCAAGGTGACGGCCACTGACTAAGTGTCGTCATTACTTACAGCCCTGGGAATCCAAACAGTTCACTGCTGCTAAAAGACAGAAGTTAAGAATTTACTTCCAAAACAAGGTTATAAATATCGCAGACGCTGATACTCAGCAGAGGCTGCCAGCGCCCCCAGGTGGGTTGTGTGCCTGGAGGAGACGTAGCATTTTATTGGTTTACAGCACAAGTTTTGGGTCCAGGAAAGATATGTGATGTGGTTACAGAGACAGAAAGTCCAGTGCACTGTTTTCCAATTTGAGAAACTAAGACCCTGTTAATAAATGTTATACACAGATTCACTCAAACAAATCTGTTTGAGCTAGAGAGGGTTGAATTGACCAAGTAGCCCCATCTAAAGGCAACTTGGAAAACAGGACTGGGTGTCTGCTGGGTCTACCCTGACCCACATGGGATGGCTGTGAATCAGAGTCGACGCCACCACAGCTAGCAACAGCAACCGTTTTCTAATTACAGTGTTTCTAAAGCTTCTCGGTCCGAAAGCGTCAACACTAGCTGCCGAGGCCGTTGTCGTGTGCCGTGCTGATTGGAACTAAACAAAGGCCGTAATCTATCTCCTTGGTCACTTGAGTCAGAATTCAAGAGTTCAATAGCCGAACGTGATTGGTGACTGTCTTACTGGACAGCACAATTCTAGAACTTTGCATCATCATGTCCAACTCTTAGTGAATAACCATGTTTAAATGTGTTTAATATGCTAAACTCCAAAAAAGAGATATGGTAAGTAGCCCTTTTTTGTATATATTTGATCTTTGGTCCCAGAAATCGATGGTCATGGTGCCCTAAGGAACACAGTTTGGGAAGGCTGCTTAGTTAGTTACATATTTCAAATTGCATATATTTTGATTCTCTTAACAACGTTATGCTATGTGAATCTCATTTTGCTGATAAGGTAGTTAAGGCTCAAAGAGGTAAATTGGTCATGGCCAAAACCTAATGCGTAGCAGAGCCCCGGTCTCTTGAGTTCCACAGCCCGACCTTTTACCATCTCTCCCCAGACTCGTCCACTGCCCCTTTCCCCCGTGTCCCCCACCCCACACATACACAGAGAGAAGGCAACAGGCGAACGTTGAAACCAGGGTTATGTGGTCCTCGAGGGATATCACAGAAACGATGGAGGCTGCATGTGGGAGCAGAAATGGATTGAAAGCATGTCAGCGAGTGGCAGCATTTTGAAATCACAAATTTCCATTAATGTATATGGAAGGGGGGGTTTTGTGGGGTTTTTAAGTCAAACTAAAACGGTTTCTGTTGAACTGAGTTTTCAGCATTGTTCTTGGGAATGAATACTGCTGGAGGGAAGAATAGAGTAGCAAAGATAAAGATGTGCACGTATGAGCCTTTCTAGGCTATTAAAATATGAAACAGTTATGTGATCACACAAAACCACCGGCCTCATTCTGTTGTGAAAGACCCTTCTGGCCCTGAACGTCTGTCCTCTGCTGAGCCTGAGATTCACCAGCAGTGCCTCTGCGGAAGCGTTGCCTGCTTCTCTGCGTGTCTTTGTAACTGCACAACAAATCAATTAGATCAACTTCCTTTTAAAAAAGTTGAAAAGAGCCGCCTAGAGATAAAAGAAGACAATTAACTAAATCCATTTAAAAAAAAAACTTAGTTGTATCTCTTTCTGAAGACAACATGCTTATCATTGTATTAGTCTAGTTACTTTAGAGAAACAAATCCACAGCAACTCATGTATAAGAGTTTTATGTAAAGAAAGTGTGCATCACGGAAACATCCCAGCCCAATGCTGCCTAAGCCCACAAGTCCAACATTAACCCATAAACCCAACAGCAGTCCACAAAGTCCTCCACCTCACAAAACAGAAGCAATGATGCCTACTGCAGGAGGAAAGCTGAGTCAGTGAACACATAAGCATCTCAGCACTAGCAGAGGTCTCCGCACGGCTGCTCCAGCACCCAGGGCTGCATCGGGATAGGTCCATGTGGCTTCTCCTTGGGGATGTCTTGTAGGAAGTCAATCTTGCAAGCTGAAGCAGGGAACTGCTAAGGCAGTTGCACCCTGGTGCGACCATCACAAAGCAAGAGACCCAAGAACTAGAAAGGCGAGGCTCACCACCCATTTATCCCTCTGCCTTTCAATTAGCCCCACATGTATTTATCGGCCAGGTTGGCACAATTAACTAACTCAATCATTATCATTAACATTTATTGCGTAACATTTGGGTAGCATTTTATAGTTAATGAACATTTCATAACATTTTAAATTTTGCGACATAGCGCTACCACAGAAACATTTAATTTGCTCAAACAAGGGTACCAAAGCTGATGGTTTAATTTTCCAAACAGGTCAAATGTCCTGCTCAGATCCCGTAGTTGTTAAAGACCAGACAGGGCCGAATCTCACATCAGCTGACTCTTCACCCAGTGCTTTTCCAATATTTCACACTGCTTTGATGACAACCCCTTAATATGTTCCTAAGCATTCATCTAAGAGGGTTTGCTTCCTTTTTTTCTCTTTTGGAACAGGTACGATAGAATTAAACAGCTGATATCTTCTGTTAATTATTTCAGAGGTCATGGGCAGATGTTTGGGCCAACAGTAAGACATGACTCTATCGAACTTAAATATTGAAAAAACAAACATGTCCATTCTGACTCCTAGTGACCCTGTAAGGCAGAATAGAATGCCCTGTGCTTTCCAAGACTGTGAATCTTTACCTTATGGAAACAGAAAGCGCCTCTTTCTTTTGCCAAGTGGCTGGTGGGTTTGAACTCAGCTCCTTAAAGCTAAAATAGATCCCCAGAGAAGCCCCGTGAAACTTCCTGACAAAAATTTAGCCTGCTTTGCTGAAACGTCTGCCTTGTAAAAAACATACTGAATGCAAATCTTATTTATTATGTATATCTAGATGTACCTATCTTCAAGAGAAATGTTTGTAGTAGGATCTAATACAAAATATCCTATGTCTCCTCCCTCAGGAGATTAACCAAAGACCATGAATATTTATATGGAGAGAAATGTGCAAACAGACAATGCAAAAAAAAATAGAAATAGGCTTCATTTGAAATGCAGCACTCCACAGTCCATCTAAACTAAGGTTGCAGGAGGTTGTATTAAAGAGCTGAGGCTTTGCAGTACAGTAGACCATTTGAGCCGTATGGCCTTGGGCAAGTTACTGAATGTCTTTAAGCTCTAATGTCCTCTAAATACTGAGATCATAACAGTACTTACCTCAGAAACATATTGTGAGGATTAAATAGAAAATTCATGGAAAGTACCTAGCACAAACAAGTCCTGGCCCAATAAAATGAAATTTAAGGAAGTGATAGTGGTGGCAAGGAGATGGTTACAGAGACAGGAATTTGGGGGCGGGGGAGGGGGGGGGATAGACAAGATGATGCTAATAAGTAGCAGGATTCCCCAGTAATGTGATTGCATTTACAATAAATAACACAGAGACTCACATGTGAGAGTTTAAACAAGAAGAGTAATAATTTTTACCCCCATGGTCATTCCTAAGAAGTAAATTCTGAGATGATGGTTTTTGATGCTCAACTTCAAAGTTCTACGAAAATATGGAGGCCAAAATTGGACTCTCCAAGAGAGCGGGACTGTGTATGGTGTGTATGTATGTGTACATGTGTGCAGTGTGTGTGTGGGGCGGGAGGTGTTGGTTTTCCAGTGAGGAGGCTATCTTTTCCCTGGGCCAGGATGTCTAAGAATTTCCATGGAATAATTTCAAACCCACATTTCACACCAAACTAATAAACACCCAGGAGTAGTTGGAACCTTTCCGAACAAGACATGTTTGAATATTGATTTGATGTTCTTAAGGGGTTTAGCTAGGTGGTTTTCCAGGGCATCCCAGATGTATGACTAAAGACAAGCCCCTGTGCTCAGAGACCCTGTCATGTGCATGCCAACCTCTGTGTGTCTTCTTGTTTCATATGCTTGTCATTGACAGCCAGAAAGGTAAATCCAAACAGCTCTTTCAAAAACCGTCACGGGCAAAGTCTATCGAGATAGATTAGAAAGCAGCCTCCTTTCACACACACAAAAAATCCCAAATGCAATTTGCATATCGAGGTGCTAGACTCAAAGAATTCATGCAATATCTAATTTATTTTATTATATTTTGCTTACTATCAGGCTGGAGCAAATTGGTAAAATTGAGCACACCTTTTAAAGGACAACAAAAAGAACAGTTCTCTTACTCGGGGTTAGAAAATCGACAACCTCATGTGGAAAAGGTCTAACTACCCTTGTCATCTCGAACCTAAGAACATTCTAGAAAAAGAAGAGAATGTTATCCTAAATTTAATGGGCACGGACTCTTAGAAGGTGGCTAGCTAGGAGTCAAAATCGGCTGGATGGAAGTGGGTTGGGTTTATTTTTATGCAGCCAAAAATTCTTAAGAATGTATGTTCTGTCACCAAGAGCAATGAAAAGGATTTACCTTTCTCTCAGTTGCTCTATGACAAGGAAGGCAATGAGCTTCAGCTTCTGCCATCACCCCTAATTGAGCTGAGTGATTGTTGTTGTTGTTGTTGTTTTCTTTAAAAAAGAAGAAGAAAACCAGGTGGTATGATGTCTGGGTTAGTAGTCGCTGACGGGAGGAGGGGCCGATGTTGCTGCGGGCGGGCCCGGGAAGGCTGGACTCAGCAGTGGCACTGTGCTGGCCCCAAGTGTCCCCAGGCATTTGTAACACCATTTGTTTTGCAGGTGCATCATCCCCCGCTCGACCAGCCACCCCCTTGGCTCCTTGCAGCAGCAGCACGCCACCTCCCCCTCCTCCCAGACCTCCATCTCGCCCAAAGCTACCTCCAGGAAAACCCGGAGTCGGAGATGTGGTAGGTTCCCTCCGCCGGACTGACTCAGGAAAGGAGCAGGGAGTGGGGAAGACAGCCATATCCAAACGTGCCTGGACACTTCGCCGCATCCCCAGTTAGGGCTGAGCATTAGAACCCCAACACAAATGGCCCGTGTGAAAGAGAGCCACTGCAGGGGCCGGGGACAGGTCAACCCTCAGATAATTGAAGCAGGTTATGGTAGTAATGCTCAGTCCTTTCACAGGGAGGATGATCTTTTCATACGATTTATCCGATTTTGGAGAACAAGTCCTTAGTTTTTACTCCAGTCTATAAAAAAGCTGTTGGTAGTAGGAGAATTGTGGACCAGTGAATTTGTCCAAGAAGTTTCATTTTTTGTATGTTAAGGCTGGGATGGAGGGGGAGTGGTGGAAACCTTCTATTCTCACCACTACCACCACCACCCCAAGGGTCTGGTGGTAAAGGCAGGTTTCTTTGGTATCTGCACACACGAGTCACAAATTGTTGATACCGCTGATTTTTCAATCAGCCAGCACAGCTCCATGGTTTGTATTTGAATCTCTTTAGATGTCTGTGCATTCTCCCATCATGTTATCCGCTTCATTCCCTGAGGGTGGTGAGTCCACAGCCCAGAACAGAACCACTGACTACATCGCAGACCCCCCCATCTCTAAACCTGGGCATAATGACTGAGTTTAGCAGGTTTATGGATTACAGCTCCTCTTTATTCCACCAGCTCCTCTTGAGGTATACTGAGTCAAGGGTGAAAATAATTTCACTTGTGCTCCTTCAAGAGCCTGAAAGATCATAGCCGGGGGTAGGGTCCATTAAAAATATGAAATGGAAGTACTGCAGCTTGCTTGTATGTCTAATTTTTCATCTCTTTTCTTCTCCTTACAGTCCCGACCTTTTAGCCCTCCCATCCACTCTTCCAGCCCTCCTCCGATAGCACCCCTAGCCCGGGCTGAAAGCACTTCTTCAATCTCGTCCACCAATTCCTTGAGTGCAGCCACCACTCCCACAGTTGGTAAAGATGATCTCCTCTCTTTTCACTCGCGTGTGGTTTGACTGCTATTTTATATGACCTGGAATCCCCAAAGGCCTTGTGTTTCTGGTTAAAATTGTTTGGCTGTGTGTTTTGCTACGATCATCTGACTCTTCTTTTAAAAGCACCTTCTCAGCAAAGGAGGCAAAGTCAATGCACAAGTGGACCTCAAATTATGCAGTGAAAGAGCAATAGCATTTATGTTTCCCAGGCCTTTTCTAAGGGGATTGCATCTAGAGCTCTTCCTACAAGTGGAAAGAAAAGCCCCAGATGGGGTCATGGAATTCAGGTCTGGTTCCCTATAATCAAAGTAGTTCCTTTGAGATGGGAAGTGTTGTTAGTTGAGTTCCAGCAGAGGAGTACATCAGAATTCACACAGAATTTAGAACTTTATTTTCTTGAATCTGTTCTTTTCGTCATCATTTTTCGGTTGGCCTTATGTTAACAAATGGGATAAACATTGGCATTGTCAGGCTTGAGCAAATTTTAAAAATATAATACTAGTTTTAGGTTTTTGACCCATTTTCCCAGAGAAGCCGTTCATTGCTGGAATCTTCAGTAATGCCCTTTGTGGTGTGGGGAAAGTGAAGAGTAAGAGTGGCCACTTAGCTAGATTGGTTCCCCAGATGTAAATGCCTCTTTTTGCCTGGAGTCACTTGCCTCTTCCCAAGAATAGTCTGTCTCGATGCCATCTCACCCGCCTTCCATAGGCTTTGACTGCCTTTGCCATTTTGGCATAGTGTCCCCCTCGACTGGGGTGGGGCTTTCCCATGGAATCCCATTCCACATTCCTTTCCTTTCCTCTTGGAAACCCTCCTCACAAACTTCCCTATTAAAGGACAGCTGACCCATCCCACTTTGCTCGGGAAAGCACTGACCAGAGTCAGACGAACACGCGCTGCTGCTTGCAGAAGAGCCCAGTACAGAGTTGTTCGTGGGAGGTCATAGCATGGCTGAAGCTTAAAACTCCTGGAGGGAAAAAAAAAAACCATAAGCACCTACATCTTTAAGGTGTGCCTTGAAACCCCAAGGAGAGTTTCAAGTATGTTGCATGCTCTGTAATTTTCATAGCGACATCTCACACACCCCCAATCCATGAGGAGGAAATCTCGCCAGCAACCAGCTCTATATGGTTTTTACTTGATGGATGTTACCATTAGTGAGGTAGCCAAGTTTGTTGCTTATCTGCATCACTAATTGGGGAAGTGAGGCTTCTTATTTTTACATGTCAATGAGCCATTTCGCTTGCTCACTCTTTTTTTTTTTTTTGACACCTCAGTCTTATTTTTGAACTCATCTTCTTTAATGTGCCTTAATAGCTACAGTAGCTTCTCCAGTCCCTCTCTGATTTGTTTATTCCTCAAGCTAATGGGTTCTCCGGGTGATTTGCCTTACTGGTCACAGAGCAAAGAGAAGAAGCATAAACTGTCCCTCAGAAGGTCAACGCCACATGCCCGCAGCTAAAACATCTGACACATGCTTTGCAGCCACTCAGATTCACAAAGAAAATGACACCCGCAGCACGTGAACAATGGCCCCGGTGAACTACGTACACTGGGCTTCCCACTCCCTGCTGCAGAAACCCCAGCTCTTGGGCATCTGCTTTGATTCTTAACATACATACCCTCACTGTCGATTTTCAAGATAAACCATCCAATCCAGAAAGCCCACTGTCATCGAATCGATTCTACCTCCTAGCCACCTTTTTTTCTTTTGTTTTGTTTTAATTAAATAATCATTTTCATAGGGGCTCATACAACTCATCACAATCTGTATGTACATTTGTGTCCAGCACATTAGTACATATGTTGACTTCATCATTCTCATAGCACCCGCTTTCCACTTGAGCCCTTGGTATCAGCTCATTTTCCCCCTCCCTCCCCGCTCCCCCCTCCTCCTGAACCCTTGATAATTTATAAATTTTTTTTTTTTTGCCTAGCCTAAGAAAGAAAGGTGCCTTTATTATTTTTTTTTTATAAATCAATTTATTGGGGCTCATACAATTCATCACAATACATAGATCAATTGTGTAAAGCACATCTATACATTTGTTGCCCTCATCATTCCCAAAATTCGCTTGCCTCTTGGGTTCCCGGAACCCGCTAATTATTATTTTATCATACCTTCCCCTATCCAACGTCTCCCTCACCCACTTCTCCGCTGTCCATCCCCCAGGGAGGAGGCCATATGTAGACCTTGTCATCTGTTCCCCCTTTCTCCCTCACCTTCCCTCCACCCTCCCACTATCACCACTCTCTCCACTGGTCCTGGGGGGTAGTGTAGTAACGATGAAATATGCAATTTTCCTCTAGTTCTTAAATGCTTCCTCCCCCCACTACCATGATCCCAATTCTACCTTACATATCCGGCTGGACCGGAGGATGTACACTAGCACAGATAGGAACTGAAATACTGTGAACCCAGGACAGATGAACCCCCCAGGACTAGCCACCTTTTAACACAGAGTACAACTGCCCCCGTTGGTTTTCCGGGACTGGAAATCTTTATGGGAACACACAGCCTCATCTTTCTCCCATGGAACGGCTGATAGACTCGAACTGCTGACCTCGCTCTCAGCAGCCCAGCACTTCCCCAACAGGACTCTTCAAGATGAGCCACAGAGGGTTTCCACAAGGAATAGCCATGTGAGAGAGTAGTCTCCATGTTTCTTATCTGAGGGGCAATTTGATTTCATCTGTTTGGTTCTGTTACTTTCATTTGGTTTCATCTCCCCAACGCATTCCTCACCCTCCTGGTCTTTATTTCCCCTGACGGCTGCTGCTGTCTGAAGTAAATACATTGTCAGATCAAAGGACTGACTGCCCGGCAGCTTCTTGGGGATTGCTGGTTCTCTCTTTCTGGGGAGGATGTGCTTTGGCTGTTCAGCGCTGACGGCTCTCCAGGCTCACGGAGAATATCACTTGAATGTAGCCAAATGGCTTGCTTGAGAGAGAGGATTTCAGCAGCAAATTTCCCTGAAGTTGATGGCTCAACATTATTCTGCTCCCACCACATTACTTTTTGGACATGTCTTCTGTCATGTCAGGCCTTCGAGTCAAATTCGGGGCAGATGTGGTAGGAACAACATAAGGAAAGTTGAAAACGAATTCATGCATCATATGTTTATGAACCAGTCTAATCTGTTGTCTTACACGGCAATTCATATAAGAAAATATCTGTATCCGCCTTGGGCGTAACATCTTTTGTGAGAGTGACGATGCTGAAGTTGTCGGTCCAATGTCACACCTGAAAATACGTGTTTTGAAAATCTGCAGACACACTCATATCCTGTGGGATTATATCTCACTACATTAGAGAAACCCTCGAATATAAGCTGCATGTGCCACACATGACTAAGGAAACGGCGGGAAAGTGGCCGGCTGAGCAAATGCTAGTGTGTCCCAGTGACAATGACTACAAAATCCGCCCCGATTTCGGGGGAGTTACACTATGGGGAGGAAGTGCCCATCTTAAATCCGTGAAGTACAATACACTCTTCTTAAACTCTGAAAAGCTCAAGAGGCCGGAGCTCTTTGACTTTGTGGGAAAAAATTATATTACTATTTTAGAGATAGAGAAAAGGTTAGACATTACTCTATTACCAGAGATACAGTCTTAGATATTTAACTCCCTGTTCAAAACAGGACATTTTCTGTACTTGTAAGTGGTTACTTAATTTCCTGGTTTATTTTTCTTTTTAATAGTGGGATTTAGACCCCACTGCAAAAAAACAAACCACGTAATAAGACAATTTTTGTTCACTGTTCAGTGTATTCTTTCACTGTTAATTCTTCCTTTTAAATTGCACGTCTAACATCCCTGGAATCCATAATGACTGAGAAATGATCATTCATGGTCACAGAAGGAAGCAGTATGTGGAAGCTAAACAGAAGCAAATGCATTCAGTGTGTGTGTGTGGAGGGGGTGGGGATAATGGCTACAGCATCTAAAACTTAAAACAAAAGATGTACTTTAAGTCTTTGTCCAAGCTTTCTGAATTCAACAAAACTTCTCAATAAGGCCTGAATTCATTGCCAATTATTCTATATAAAAATAACGATGGATTTTTAGAAGCGATTTTTTGTAATCTCCCCACCAAATTCTCACCTTTGATTTAACTCGTCTTTTTTGGGGGGGACAGATGCTTTTGTCCAGCATTAGCTTCTTCATCCTAGATTAGATTGGAGCAATTTCTATGGTTAGTCTTTAAGGAAACTTTCCCCTCTGCATTTAAACTAAGTTCAGAGTTATTCTGGGATTCATTTTTTTAAAGTTCTCTCATTTGCCTTAGACCTTTTTTCCTAAACTCTCAAAGTCTGTAGCCACCATAAAGAAAATCTTGGGCATGCTCACTGCTCCGCCCCTAGGAGGTCTGTTCAGCTCAAAGAGCTGGTGGCTCTGTTTGAGGATCCTCATGGTACAGAGATTAAATTTAGGACATCAGTTATTCAAAGGAAGGAAGACGCTCTGTCATTTACACTAGTGAGTCTGAAGTAAGCACTTTTCTATCCAGTTCCTGCCAATGGAACTGCTTTGCTTCCTGTGTTCTGAAGACAGTGTTCTGTGTCTTTCCCTGCCTGTTGTTTGCCCTATTCCTCTCCTGCGGATACAAAGAAATTGCATTAATCTGTTCTAGCTATCAAGGAAGCCACATGTAAAATAAAAATTAGAATGGACAAATGATGTCCTAGGACTTTAAGAATTGACAAGTGAACAGGTTCATTGCCTTACTCGCCAATTCTAGAAGGAAAAATAATTGAATTTATTCCCAGCAACATTACTATTGATGGACTGACTTTACTATCCTCATTCATTTTCATATCTTACATCTCTATATTGTGGGGAGGATTCTCCCTTACAGGTCTTTATCTGGATTTGATTTGATTTTCCATTTAACTTAAAATAATACTCATAGGCCCTGTGGCATTTGGCACTTTTTAAAAATTGCATCATGGAAAACTTCCAGTGGGCTGTGGGTGTGAGAAAGGAGGGAGACTGCGAGGCTCTGGAACAGTTGCGGTCCAGAGCATCAAGTCCGGATGTTGTGACCAATTTACAAAGACACTTGGCCACAGCTGGAGTCCACAGCTAAAGAGGAGAATACAAACAATGCTGTTCAAAATTAGCACTCCATAACTACTGAAGGTAAATTGAATTTGGAGACTGGTTGAGGCTGAAAGGGGATGGTTTTCATGCAGGGACCTCAGATTTATACTGTAGCTTTTTATGGTCATGCTAATAGCTGCTTCTTCCTCATGGGGGAAAGATGCATGCTGGGGGATCCTGTTGAGCTGGCAGGGCTGTCAGGAGGATCTTGTTGATGGATATTTATCTGGCCACTTGAGAATTGTGAGGGGGCGAAACACACTTGCACAAGTCAATGATTAACAATAGCACCTTGAGCAAGCCCGAGAAGATGGAGCTTGACTTTCACTATGGGGCTGACATCAGCCAAATTCACAGATGCTCAAACCTGACCCCCCAAAAATTTTTTTTCCGGATTTCTTCTCCTAGAATTGTCATGAAATAAGACGATCAAAAATAACCATCTCCACGGTGACTTAAGTTTTCTTTCTTTTTCCATCAAAGTTATCCCTGGTGTTTCAATCAGTCAAGAGTGCTGCTTGATTTCATTTGGGATTTGTGTTTGTGTTTTTGTTTTCCATTCCTTTATGTTTCTTTGGTTCGTAGTGTCAGAAGATGATGTTTTTTATGACACACTGCCCTCGTTTGAAAGGCGCTGTGAAACGCCTGCAGGTATGGTGCCAGCCAAGTGATCTCTAGATCTCTAGATCGTTAGACTTCTAAAACTCCAAGCCATTCCACCATCTGAATGCTCCGAGCTTCATGGACATGCCCGCCCCCCATGAGTGTCCGTCCAGTGCCTCTCAGATGCGTTCCATCCGTGGGGAGCTCATGCCACCAAAACTTTTGAAGTGAACACATCACCAAGCAGCAGGTTGCATGACAGTTTCTCAGGGAGAGGGTTCCACAAACGATGAGCTGCTCTTGCTTTGTGGATTGTCAAAGGAAGAAATAATGGAACTGCTCAGCCATCTCATGTGCAGTGACTGGTCTTTCATAGATATTAAGCATCGTAATCATGACAGCACAGCGTTAGCAACCTCGTTTTCTTTCGGTATGGAGGTGAAGGGTATTTGAAGCTGGGTACCTAAGGTGATTCCAAGGGCGGGTTGGAAGATGTGTGGCATCTTCCGGGAACTTTCCATTGTCATGCAATGTGGATGTTGTTTAAAGCTGAAGCTAATATTGTCTAAAACCCATAATTCCGAGTTTATCTTTCTTGTGAAAACGTAGAAGGGGATGACGGTGAAGGTGAAAGGGAGACGGCAATTGCTGAATGCAAGTTTGCCCGAACTAGTGCAGTTAAAATATGCTGACACCCTGCATGGCCAGGAAGTCTGCTCCAGGCGCTCAAGCACCCAGTATCCAGCCGCCAGCAACACGCTCCCATCCCCTTGAGCCTCCATAGCTTCGCTTTTCTGTCTGTTCCCCCTAACTAGAACCAAACATAGATCGCTAGCCCTCCGCTTTTCTTTCCGTCCCCCCCTGCACGTTAGTGGCATGCCGTGCCTCCACGCGACCCTATAGTGAGATTAATGAGCTGCTCTGAGACTCACACTGTGTCCTTCTCTCTCCCTCTCCTGAACCTTCCCCTCCCGCTTCAACTCCTGGCCATGCAGAGAATGAACAGCCTTCCCTCGTTTGGTTTGACAGAGGGAAGTTCTATTTGACTTTCGAAGGTAAGTTGTACATAGCATACCAGATTCTGATCCATACCGCGCCCCTCGCCTGCCCAGTCTGCCTTTCAAAACCCCAGTTTTCTTCAGAAGACCCGGTCTCCCTCTTCTATAGACAAATGCTATGGCTACTTAGAAAATACGAACAATTTGAGACAATCAGACCTGAATTTGGTTTCTGTGTGATTCTCAATTTTTCATATTAAAAAACCAAAGCTGATCTGTCATTAAGATGAACTAATTAAAAAAAAAAAAAAAAAGATGAACTAATTAACCGTCGTTGGTCGGAAAACAAACCAACAAACCAGTCAAACCACTTGTGCTGGCCTTCGAACTTAACTCTGTCAAGCTGGGCTCTCCGCTCACTGTGCTTCTGCGACGCCATGCCGCAGGTCAGAGGACATCGTGCAAGAAACCCAATGTCGCGATCAAGTGAGTCCCACGATGCTTTGGGTGTCCCAATGGATGGAAAGGTTACGCACTGACACTGTGCTGTAATTGGCTAAGCCCCTAATTGCATGATGGAAACGTTTGAAATCCTGTGAGAATGACCAAAATGAGCCGCAGATACCGAGATCCTAAGTGAGCACAGGCCGTTAGGGAAGAAATAGGACTGATAGACTTACTCCACTCACAGCGGCCACACACTGCCCGTTGGAAAAACAGGGATGGATATGCCTGGGGAATGCAGCTGTGCGAGCGCAATAAAAGGAGCCTGTGTCTGTGATGCTATTTAATTTTGTCTTGGATGATCCATCGGTCAAGTGCAACATCCATTATCATAAAATGTAAATACATATAGATGCCCTCGTGGCAGCATAGGAGACCAGAAAAATGGGGGCAGAGAATAGAAAGAAGTCTTTTAGTAAGTACCATCTGCACTTCCTGAAATTGCAATTGGAGTGATTTCAGTAAGTGGACAACTATAGCCAACCTTGCAATTTAAGCAGATTAGGGAAAATAGACATAAATAAGGATTCAACATCTAATTGTAGTCTTTATTGTGATATTGTTATGGAGTGACATTCTCCAATCTTCTATTTCCATTCTAAATCCTCCTCACACAGGAGACATGCAGTAAAATAGCCTACTTAAAATAATGATGGGGGAATCACAGCATTTAGTTAATGGACCATCTCACAGATAACGATTTGTCAAGACTCTGCATTTTAAGACTTTAAATAGCTTAATTATTCCTGGTATCAAGTGTTGGCCAAAGAAAAGTATTCCCTCGATATTACTCCTCTCTTTGTAGTATATGGGAAAAACTTTCATAACTTGGAAGTGTGTCTTTAACACAATTCTTTAAAAACGAGAATGAGGGGTGTGTGTGTGTGTGTGTGTGTGTGTGTGTGTGTGTGTGTGTGTGTGTGTTTAAGTAGTTGGTATGGTTTTGAGAGAGAAAGTTGAGCCGTTCTGCCCCATAAAGATGTATAGCCTGGGAAACTACAGGGGCTGTTCTCCTCTGTCCTGCAGGGTCGCTGTGGGACAGACTGACTCCACAGCACTGAGCTCGGGTTTAGTTTTTATATTGTTGTGGGGTTTGAGTTTTTTCTATTAGTGAATTTGTTTACAAGGTTGATCTTGAGTAGCTTCAAGAAAGACGGGCTGAGTTAAAGCATTTCAAATGCCCTGATGTCTTGACCTCCCTTGAGTAGAGGGGCCGGTCGGCTGGTGGTTTCCGAAGAAGATGTATGTGTTCCACATGAGGTCAAAGCCTTCATTACCTCAGAGCAGGAATGTTGTTCTAGCCGAAGTGCAACCTCCACAAATGGGTGACCACCTAGCTGTCTCTATAAATCGGAATTTTAAAGGGTCCGCGTGTCTTTTCACTGATCAGCATCTTGCAAAAGGAAATGCTACGTTTGATAGCAAATATTTATGTAGGTAAAGGGCCTTCCTCTGGTTCAGTTGGGCAACAGCAAAAGCACCAGTTGACCCTGCTTTAATTAAATTAAACAATTAAGCAAGAAATTGACTGCACTGTGTCAACTCTCAACTAATTGCCTGGGACTCCTTGAAGCCACGCTGGCAACTTTTTGTTGCCGCTGTTTGTTTTGGCTTTATTTGGAATATTTGTTTGCGCGTGTTTTAGTGTGGGGCTCTTTTTACAGAAAGTACTGTACTTTTTTTTTCAAGATCCCAATCTAAAGTCCTGGTAGCGCAATGACCAACACCTTGGGCTGCTAACCAAAAGGTCAGCAGTTTGAACTTACCTTCCGCTCCACAGGAGAAAGGTGAGGCATTCTGCTCCCATAAAGAGGTCTTGGAAACTCATCTACGCGGCCCTATGGGGGTCACTGAGTGGGAAACCACTGGATGGCAAGGAGGGAAAAATCTAAAGGCATTATTGGTTGTGGGCTTATTTTTCTAAATCTGGGAAGGCTTTAAAAAACTGATGGAAAAAAATAATTCTTTTAATGCCATTTTTCCCATAGACTCTTTGAAACCCTTTAAATGTGTGTTAAGTACATGTTATGTGAGCCTTTTTCTTACCAGGATAATAAGGTATTTCTTGGCACGTTTCTGCACTCCCTGGGAGGTGCAAACAGTTAATGCACTTGATTGTTAACCGAAAGGTTAGCAGTTCAGGCCCACCTAGAACATTCTTGGATGGCTCCATGCCGCGCAGTTCTATTCTGATCCACATGGGGTCCCCAGTGTGAGGAACTTGATTTTGTTTCATTTTGTTTTGCTTTAGGTTTGATAGCATAACCATTCTAAGTCTCTCTCGCTGCCATCGGGTCAGTGCTGACTCACAGTGACCCCCCCCTGTGGGTTTCCCAGACTGTAACTGTGTATGAGCATAGAAAGCCCAGTGTTTCTCCCTCGGAGCTGCTGATGGTTCCGAACTGCCAACCTTGTGGATTGCTGCCCAATGCGTAACCACTACACCACCAGGCCCATTCTAATTCATGAGATCCAAATTCCTATGATAGTCTCAATTTGGACTAAGAGGCATCATGAAAACAATGTTTAATAAAGTAAATTGGAAACTCCAGTACTGTGTTACCTCCATTCTGACTTGACTTCTGTTTTAAAAGTATAGGGGAGACCTCCTGAGGGCTGTGGGAGAAGCCATATCACAAGTGTATGTTCCTGCTTATCTCTCCAAGAGCATGCTTAAGTATAGTAAAATGAAGTACAAGAACAGATTTAAGAAAAACTAAAATGGAAACGGTGCTATCTCAGCAAGACTTGCTATGTTTTAAGAATAAACCAAAAAGCAAACTCACTGCTACGTAGTCGATGCCAACTCATAGCGGCCCTGTAGGACAGGGTAGAACTGCCCCAGAGAGTTTCTGAGACTGTAACTGTTTATGGGAGTAGAACGCCCCGTCTTTCTCCTTTGGCTCCTGGTGGTTTTGAACTGCTGACCTTATGGTTGACAGCCCAATGAGCAACCACTATACCCCTATACCCACCAGGGCTCCCTGGTTGAAGAACAGAGAAGGTTTACCTTCAAAGTGTCCGTGTATCAAACTCAAGTATTACTAGCCAGTGCCATCTGAAAGATTCTTCTGTGATGAAAGCATGACCCACGAGTAGTAACATTTTAAATTAACTTGAGAATCATGCCCCTTACCCTAAATGTTTGGATTCCAAAAGCAGCCTGTCTTTCACATAGTTTGTTGAATAGAATGTCTAACATGTTCTTCTAAGGCTCTTTAGTATTATCCACATTTATTCCGAGGAATGTTTGTTATTAGTTACTCGTTCATGGGAAATGAGAAGAAAGAAAGATTTCCATGTCAAAATATTCACCTGTTATAAGTAACTTTTGTATTGTTGTTTATTCATTTTAATGGTATTTTGTAGTGTTACAACCCTTAGCCAGTCTTACCCATCACTCTGTTCTCACAATGTTTTCAACATTGTAGACACTCCTTGGCCAAAAAACAAAATAATGAACATTAGGTTTATGAGTTTACTTGGAGATAACACAAGATGCTTCCATATTTCCACTGAATAAGAAAGGAAGTAGGTAGGCCATGATTCTGACTCAAGAGTTCCACCAGCCTTTTCTTACAGGTTTTGCTGTTATGAACAGCCCTACCGATACGCTGATTTATCTTAAGTTGAATTAAAAGACAAATGAAGATGAACGATGCCTTTTTTTAATTGATCCAAGAGTATATCATATTGACATTATCAAGTACTCTTGTGAACTCAAAAACCAAACCAAGCTCACTGCCATCAAGTTGATTCTGGCCCTAAGGACAGGGTAGAACTATCCCTGTAGGTTTGTTACAGGAGTAGAAAGTCTCACCTTTCTCTGAGTAGCTGGTAGCTGTGAGTGGCTGCTCTTGCAATTAGCAGCCCAATGCATAACCCAGTAGGCCGGTAGAAGGGAGAAAAAAGTTATTTCCATGGCAAGTAAATGGTGTGATTCTTAGCTATTTAAACAATGACTGGAGCATACTAACGTCAGTATGGTCCCAGAAGTGCCCCATCTTCTTGGTTAGCTTATTTTAGTACAAAATTGTCATATATGTGGCAGTGAAAGAGAGCCACGCCATACTTGTTCTTGAGTGTCCTTGTGTCTGACTATCATCTGTGTCAGTGGTCCGTAAGCTTCTGAAACCTTCTCTCATTGAGACTTCTCTGTACTCTTCATCACTTCTCTTTGTAATATGCCTTCTGGCGTGCCCTGTCCCTAGCAGCACCCTTCTATCCATCCTTCGTCTCTCGGCTGTGCTTGCCCACTCATTTTCTTGGCTGAAGCCCAGCTAGCTCAAGGACTCTTGCTTTTCCGGTACAACACTCCAGGGAAGAGTCTTCAGGCTTCTCTTGACCATATGTTACGAGAGTAGGACACTGCTTTTGTTCTTTCTGCTCCCTGTTGCCACAGCCCAAAGCTCCGCAGTCATAGTGTAATTCTGCCCTCTACTGCTCCTTCGTGCCATGAACTGCTGACATGATGAGCACTCTTCTGTGTTACTCGTGTTTCTTTGCTTTTGTTTTTCCTATAAGATGCATTTTTTCCTGTAAAATGCACTTTA